GCCCCAGGCAGACCCCGCTCCAGCAGCAGCCCCACGCTGCTCCCCAGCAGGAGCACGAGTGCCCGAGGCAACGGCCGCACGGCAGCTGTGGGCTCCTTCCCTGCGCAGCACAGGGCTGTGCGTCGGCCGGCTGTGACCTCACAGTGGCGGCTCTGACATCACTCCGGGGCTCCCCAGGGAATGCTCCTGCGACCCTGACCCCCTCCCAGTACTACATGTTGCCAGGAACAGGGGGTTCTAACCCTCCCCATCCCTGGAATGTGGTGGATGAGCTTTCCGAGCGGGGGGGTGGACTAGATGATCCCCAGAGGTCCCTTGCAACCACGAACATGCTGTGATTCTGTGATTCTGTGATGTCCTTAATGGAGAAGGCGCTGTAGCCCAGGGCATGATGTCCATGATGGCAACAGTGGGAGGGGAAACCAAAGTGCTGCAAAGTGCAGCGCCTGGGGGACCAAAGAGCCCAGCCTGAGTGTCAGGTGGTGGAGCCCAGGACGGGAACACCCCAAGGGCTGCAGAGCTGGACAGCCTTCCTGGGAACCCCTGAGACAGGATCACAGAATCACACAATCAGTCACAGCATGGCAGGGGCTGGAAGGGACCTCTGTGGATCTTCTAGTCCAACCCCCCTGCTGAAGCAGCGTCACCCAGAGCAGCCTGTACAGGACTGCGTCCCGGCAGGGTTTGAGCATCTCCAGAGAAGGAGACTCCATATCCTCTCTGGGCAGTTTGCTCCGGTGCTCCGTCACCCTCAGAATAAAGTTCTATCTCATGTTCAGCTGGATCTTCCCAGGCTTCAGTCTGTGCCCGTTGCCCCTTGTCCTGTCGCTGGGCACCCCTGAAAGGAGTCTGGCCCTGTCCTCCTGACACCCACCCTTAAGATATTTATCGGCATTAATGAGGTCCCCTCTCAGCCTTCTCTTCTCCAGGCTGAACAATCCCAGCTCCCTCAGCCTTTCCTCGTAGGAGAGATGCTCCAGCCCCCTCATCATCCTCGTAGCCCTCCGCTGGACTCTCTCCAGTCTTCATCTTGCTTGAACTCATTTTGCCCTCATCTTTCTTGAACTGGGGAGCCCAGAAATGGACACAGTACTCCAGATGGGGCCTCACTAGGGCAGAGTAGAGGGGGAGGAGAAGCTCCCTCAACCTGCTGGACACACTCCTTTTGACGCACCCCAGCAGACCGTTGGCCTTCCTGGCAGCCGGGGCACACTGCTGGCTCATGGTCAGCCTGTCGTCCTCCAGCACTCCCAGTCCCTCTCCGCAGGGCAGCCCCCAGCCTGTACTGGTGCCTGGGGTAGTTCCTCC